AGTCCATTACAAGTCAAAGTGTTATAAATCTACATTTATTGTTTTATCCCTTGTTCGACAGTGTTTTCTGTTAAGTACTATTAGCTTCCTTTTCTCTAAATTACTTGATCTACAAGACTATATACATTTTCCAAATTAATACGTATTTGACTAACTGGTCACGTGAACCTAGTTATAAGCTCTCAAAAAGACCGCGAGMGTAAAACRTTACTATCACAAGGCTATTTCTATCGAATGATTCTGAAGAAAACCCTTCATTGTTAATTTACCAGAACCAGGGGAGCAGAGATTATTACGCAAATACGCCCGCCCACACATAATCGTGGAAAGAAAAACAAACCGCTACTTTTCAGTGATTTTTTTGGAAGTAATGCATAGCTGTGCGTACTAAGATGTCACCCGTACCAACTTCTCAAGACGTATCGACTTGACACAAGGATGTACAGTACTGCTGACCTTAAAACTGCACTAGTCGGTGTAATGCCATTTGATGTAGGTAGGCTGCTACTAGGTAGTACAACYAAACAGTATTTTCTTTTCCCTGGAGGTTTTAAAACAAAAGAGCTCTACTACTTAGGAGTACCCTATCTCGTGTWAACAGGGMCTTAGTTTTAACTTGTGAGATTTCAAACCATTTTTATTGTCTTCACAGATCTCTTGAATGTTCACGGGATGTTACCGAATATATATTACATTGCTTTGAGGCTGAAACACAATACAAAGAGTTCGCTAAGCCACTGTTATATAATGACCAATGGMAAAAACTGCAAGCTTAAATGACTCCGAAATGATGGAAACGTATATATCGATTCAAATGAAAGAACAATGGCTTTTGCTATGGCTAGCGATGTTTTCTATTATTTTATTTCAGCCAGCTTTATGATAGCTATTTCTTGATTTAGTGAAATGAACTTAGCCAGAATGTTATAAACTCTTTTCAGCTTAAAAATTCTGAGTCATGCAAGGAAAGATACTCGAACTACAATTTCAACCATTTTATTTTTCCATTATCTCGAATATTCTCACGCAATTTTGCTCAATAT